CGTTACGGTGGTGTAGGATGGCTCGTTTGGGGAGGAATTATTCTTGGTTCCAGAACTGACCTGCATGTTCAGAGTGTAACGATGACAGGCCACATCTATAGGGATGTCATTCTGGAACAACATGTACGTTTGTTTCGGGGCGCCATGGGTGCTGAATTTCTGTTTATGGACGACAACACCCGTCCTCACCGTGCAAACATTGTAGACGAATGCCTTCAATCGCAGGATATCACCCGTATGGATTGGCCAGCATGCTCACCGGACTTGAATCCAATAAAGCAAGTGTGGGATATGCTTGGTCGACGAATTGCAGCCCGTCAACCCCCTCCCACCTGTCTACCGGACTTTCGGAGGGCATTTCTTGATGAGTGGTGTAATATTCCCCAAGATCAGATTGATAATTTGATACTCAGCATGCCTAGGCGTTGTACGGCCTGTATTGCATCGTCCGGGAGACATACTCCGTATTAACCATCATACTAACCATGTTATACTATTTTTTGTAAATAGGTTCTTTTTTGAAATTTGCTCCAGAGAGTAAAAATCGCAATTTTTATTAATTATGTCAAACATATGGCATCTTTTTTGCTCTTTACCTTTTGTTTAATACATAGACTTTACAAATAAGTCAAATTTGTTTGGCTTCGGTCTCTTTCTGTCCCTGAACTTCATTATCCATAATTTATGGACATGAGTGTATTATAATAACAATGTATTGAATCAATTGCAAAAGATGTGTTATTTTTATTAAAAATTGTATTATTTTCCTTTGAACCCTTTAATTCAAAAGGAAAAAAATCTAGCAATAAGGAAATATCCTTCTTTGACGACCATTCTAGACATTTATTTTCGTTTTTATTTCAAAGAAACCATAATTCATCTAATTTTAATTCTTATTTACAATTACTTATTCAATTATTTAACTATTACTGTTACTTATTTACAATTACTTATTAAAAAATTTTCTTATGTATAGACCAAAAAAAAATTAAGCACTAAATTAGATTGCCTCTTCTAGCTTTTCAACTGCAGGACATAAATCCTAATTTTTGCTCTATTTTTGATACGATGATGAAAAACGTTATTCATCACATTAATTATTTTTAAAAAAAATTTGTTAATGAGTTCATAATCGCTAATGAACTTCATTTGTGATGTCAGGATTCCACCAAAAGTAAGTCGATCAGTTAGGGTTTCAAAGCTGAGGGAAAAAATGGGAACCACTGCTCTAAAGGGAAGTTCAAAGTAGGAGAGAATCTTAAATCACTTCATTAGTTGTAAATATAACGCTTGACAACACTACGAAACAAATGCAATGTTCCCATAATTTCTTATATGTTTTGATATCTAAATAATAAAAAGGATATAATTGAAATCCTTCTGATTCTTTTTTTTGCAATATATTTTGTATTAATAAAAGATAGATTCGAAAAAAACCCATAAGAATAAAATTGGGAAAATATTAACCAAAACATGAAAGTATACATATTTGGATTGATCAAAAGAAGGTTTTTTTGGTAATAAAAACATGTTCTTTGTTGTCAGAGCCTGAAAAAAAACACATCATCAAAAGGAGTTGTGTTTTCAATGAGAAAATTGATTGCACAAAGCATTCGCCGAATTTCATCATTATTCCTCTGGATTTGTATTCCCTCTCTGATTGAAATGGTTTCTAACATAAAAGAAAAAAGCTATCAAATTATTTATCACAATGTATCTTGTAATTATTATTTGTTTAAATAATTACCTATATTAATTCGCATTTTCTAAAAGCTTTTTGCTGCGAAATTCTATGGCATAAATTTTACTAAATTAGAATTAATTAATTAATTTTACAAAATTTACTAAATTGAGAAAAGATATAAAAAAATATTCAATCTAATGGAACTACAGTGATTATCAGTTATTAGTAGAGTTTAATAGCAGCATTACAATAAAATAGTGGGATAATGATCATTAAAATTCAGTGATAAATGATTTAGTTATTATTATTATTTAGCTATATTAAGGCTGAATTTCTAGACTGAAAAAAAATAAGGTCAAAACTGCCAAAATATTCTAAAATTTATCGTGTTTCAGGCTATATGAAAACATTAAAATATAGGTAATTATAACCAACGCTTTGGTAATGATTTTGGCAAAATAAGAAATAAAATAAAGAAAAATTAATGACACTAATATTGTAAATATATATAATTTAATTTGTTTTTTGGTGTATTACCCAATGACAAAATGGGTGCTGTTTTGGGTTTGATGGCGTGTGCATCTTACTTGGACGTCATCACATTTTTCAACTGTGTTCAAGAGTAATAGTAAACAGTGCGCATGTGGCGTCATTGCTTACGTTCCTATGACTGTTTGATAAATTTTTTTATAATTTTTTTTTCACTTTTAATTTTGCTACGCATTAAGCTAAGGAGTTTAGTTTTGAGACATGGGGCCAGAGAGATCCCATAAATACTTCTTGAGTTGTGAATAAAACAGAATTTTATCATTTGAACGATATTTTTGTTTCTATTGTTTTAATCAAGAATCAGAAATTCTAACCTATAGTTCAAACTGGATCGTTTCCAATACTAATTCAGGTGAATATCGCAAATAAAGAGATTAAAAAAAAAATTAGACAACTTACATTTTGCCTAAGGGTAACCTGTGATCGCCTCCCGGGGATCACAATTTTTTTTAAAAATTACTTTGAAAAAAAAACTTTTTTGCTTGAAAAAAAGGAAATGTAAAATTAAATAATTTTACTACTATTTATTTTTGTTTTATTTTGTTCAGGTGAATTTTGCAAAAAAAAAAAAAACAGTTTAAATACAGTGTATTTTAATAACCAGAATTGTGTTTTTTTTTTTAACAGAGCGATAATTTAACCATACCATACAGTAACGGTAATTATTACTATACAGTACGGTAATTTTACCTGAATTTGTTTTACCTTACATCCGATTACTGTTATTTATCTCAACTTTTTTCTCAACCAATTAAATTTATTATCTCAACTAATCAAATTCTTAGCAAATTTTAATCCTTTTAATTTATCTCTACTTTTTTCTTTAATTTTTAACAATGAACATACGAATTAGAATATTTATACATAAATGTCAATTTCTTTTGTGTTTTAAAACTTTTTGTTGAAAATAAAAAACTGTTTTTTAAAAAAAATTTTAAAAAGGCTGCTATATATATGACACAATTTTCCACATATTTCCTTCACGTAATCCTTTTTTTTATAATAAAGAATGTTTTAGTCTTCTTTTAATGCATTTTTAAAAGACCTGTCTTAAAAGAGTTTTAATCCAAAAGTTTCTTTAAAAAAAAGGCCATAAATTTCCATAATAGTTTAACTTTCTCCGTGAATAAAAATATTTTCCTCCGCCATTTCCTGAAAAGTTACTCTCTTACAAAAAGTACTAACTAATGCTCCTTGAATTTAATATTCTCGTCCTCAAGTAAACCACTGTTATTAAAAGGTATTATCCCATCAAACACTTTTTATACCTTAACTGTAACCTTCATTGTATGTAAAGTGAGGATAAAATTGTCTTCCGCGGATATTATCTTTGTTAGGGTAAAATAAAATTATTTTACCTCGTGCTTCGTAAAGTAATAAAACATGCACTTAAGACACAATTCTTAAGTATAATAGATTTTACTTTATCATCAACGAAGAAAAGCCTGTGGCGTATTTTCAATTTTGATAAGTTAACTTAAGTTTGTTGTAATCCATTGTAAAAAAAATATAGATAATCTTAAGCTTCGTATTTTCTGAAAGAAAATTCTCCATAGTTTACAGGAATTAGTGAAATTTTTGAAGATTCAAATTAAACGGTATAATTGCATTAAGAACTCATGACAAAACGAGGTAAATATGCGCATACAAAATAGTTTCTGTATAGTTAATACAATATTTAATTGTAATAAAATAAAACAATCTATGGCTTATCGGAATTCTTTCTCTATAGTTTACAAGAATTTTTTCTCTATATTTCAATGAAATTAGGACAATTTCGAAGATTTAAATTAAACCGTATACTTTTATTAAGAACTCATGAAAAACTAGATGAATATGCACATACAAAATAGTTTCTGTATGGATAATACAATATTTTATTGTAATAAAATAAAGCAATCTGCAGTTTTTGGGATTAAGTTCTCTATAGTTCAGTGGGATAGTGAAAATTTCGAAGATTCAAACTGAAGGGTACAATTATGTTAAGAACTTATGAAAAACTAAATGAATATGAGCCTACAAAATAGTCTCTGTGTAATTAATATAATATTTAATTGTAATAAAATAAAACAATCTATAGTTTATCGGAATTATTTCTCTATAGTTTACAAGAATTTTTCTCTATATTTCAATGAAATTAAGAAAATTTCGAAGATTTAAATTAAACCGTATAATTTTATTAAGAACTCATGAAAAACTAGATGAATATGCACATACAAATAAATTGTGTATGGATAATACAATATATAATTGTAATAAAATAAAGCAATCTGTAGTTTTTGGGATTAAGTTCTATATAGTTCAGTGGGATAGTGAAAATTTCGAAGATTCAAATTAAACTGTATAATTGCTTTAAGAACTCATGACAAAACGAGGTAAATATGGTTTCTATATGGATAATACATTTAGTTGTAATAAAATAAAATAATCTGTAGTGTATGGGAATAAGTTCTCCATAGTTTATAAGAATTAGTTTTTTATATCTCAGTGGAATTAGGAAACTTTCGTAGATTCAAAATAAACAGTATTATTACATTATTAACTCATGAAAAACTAGGTCAATGAGAGCATGCAAAATGTTTTCTGTATGGATAATACAATATTTAATTGTAGTAAAAAAAATCACTCTATAGTTTACGGGAATTAGTTTTCTGAAGTTAACAAGAGTTAGTTCCCTATAGTTCAGTGGAATTTAGAAAATTTCGAAGATTCAAATTAAACGTCATATTTATATTAAGATCTCGTTTAAAACAAAGCGAATATGCACATGCAAAATAGTTTCAGTATAAATAATACAATATTTAATAGTAATAAAATAAAACAATCTATAATTTATGGCGATTAGTTCTCTATAAATAACGGAATTAGGAAAATTCCGAAGATTCAAATTAAACGTTTAAATTCCATGAACTAATGGAAAATTAAGTCAATATGAAGAAGTTTCTGTATGAAAAATACAATATTCTATTGAAATAAAATCATCTATGCTGACTATGACTCTATGACTACATCATCTATCATCTATGACTACAAATTTACTTTCTAAGTAGTTCTCATTAGTTTACAGAAATTAGTTCTCTATACTTCATGGGAATTATGACAATTTGAAGATTCGAATTAAATGGTTAAGTTTCATTAACAACTAATGGAAAACTAGATGAATATGGGAATACGAAATAGTTTCTGCATGGAGAATATAATCTTTAATTGTAACAAAATAAAATAATCGAGTTAAAGG